ATATGAGTTGGGGCCCCGTGGTCCCCGGGATTGGTCGGAGTGGGTGAGAGAATGGTGGATGTTGAGCTCCTCACATCTTTAGGCAGCCAAGGTTGAGAAAAACTGCAGTAGGCTAATGTGAAAGAATTCAAAGGGTGGTGATGAAGTGATTCTCTTTGCTGAAATGGAAAGACTGTGCTGTTTACTTTGGCAAAGTGAGTCAAAGAGTCTGTAACTTCCTGGGGTGTTGGACTTCCTGGGCCAAAGGTCCTAGTTGTGCTTCCTGGGGTGCTGGCCAGAAGTTTGGAAGCCCATGCTGTAGTGGAACAACCCCACCGTCACCACCACCACCACCACCACCCTCCTTTCTCTGCATAGGCTGACCAGGAGCTTTGGCAGCCCAGCCCAGCCAGAGGATGCCAGAACCAGGTGGGTAGTTACCCGCTCAATCCCCTTCTCTACAAGGGGCCTCTGAAGCTGGGCAGCCCCAGCCCAGGCTGCAGGGAATTTTTCAGCCCACACCAGAGATGACCAGCTTGGAAACTTCTGGAGCACTCCAGAGGTCTCACCAGTTGAGTAGCTCCAGTATGGGCTGGAAGGGAATCCAACATGTCCTGGGGTGCTTCAGGCCATCGTGGAGGGAGGCATGTCCCAGCATATCCTCAGGCTGACCCTTGGCAGCCAGGGAGGAAGGAGGCAATCCAGTACCTTCAACATGAGGAGCCAAATCTCTTGGACAGTTTCTTTGGTTCCTGAAAGTCATAAAGAAACTTAATCCATCTGAAGCAGCAATAGAAGCAGTTCTTGAAGCCCATTAGGACTTCCTCAGATACAGCCCTTTCTGCCTTCCTGGTTCTGTGGGGTTCTGTTAGTGGCCTCAAGATGGGGATAAATAATTATCAAAAGAGTTGAAGTCACTTTTGCACGGCTTTGGAATCTTGCACCGATGTCTTCCTTCTTCCGCAGAATCAATTCCAAGGATTACTGTTCGATATTGTAAACAAGGAAGCATTTGAACTTTTCATTATGAGTCTAATTTTCTTAAATGTGGTGGTCATGGCGGTGGAATATGAAGGCCAAGATAGGTCTGCTGAGCTACTTCTTGAAAATATCAACTGTGTCTTTGTTGCTATCTTCACTGGCGAGAGCTTAGTGAAACTGTTGGCTTTGAGGCTTTATTTCTTCAAAGATAACTGGAACATATTTGATTTGGTGGTTGTAATTCTTTCAATAATCAGTAAGTAAACTTTTCTGTTTACAAGGTCACTGCTTGCCAATGCTAACTAGATACAAGGCAAATAACGTTTTGCACTGCATACTTATTTACAGCCATACGCTTCCACTTCACATGCATAATGCAGATTTAGGAATGCATGTTGACAAATTGGTTGTAAAGTGTTGCTTGGGAGAGAAATAATTCAGATTTGGGAAAAGCAAACTGCCATGGGAGCAAGCCTTAGCTGATGGATCTCTCTGTTAATTGGATTAACTGAGAAGATGTAACCCCAGAATGACCAAATACATAGACCCTTTGAATTCTGTACACAGATATGAGGAAAGGCTCACAAATAGAGAAAATGAGATCTCCTGCTACCCTCTGTACATTTCTAGGTCAATAAACAAAATTTGGCTTTACTTGCGTTTTTTTCCCCAATTACTGCATTCCTTCTAATCAACAGTACTGTTACTAATCATACTTTAACTGACATGACATCACTGTGTCCTCTCTGATAATTCATGGTTACGTCAGAGTGAAACTTGGCCAGTTCTGCTCTTGCCTATATCAAATAAGATAATTTATTTTTTGCACCTTTATTGTTCTAGGGAGCCAGAAATGGGTTAGAGCAGTGTTTCTCAACCTTGTCCACTTGAAGATGGGTGGACTTCAATTCACCCATCTTCAAGTGGCCAAGGTTGAAGCCACTTGAAGATGGGAAATGGGAGTTGAAGTCTACCCATCTTCAAGTGGACAAGGTTGAGAAACACTGGGTTAGAGTAATAAAAAAGTCCCTCACTGGTGGTTTTGCTAGAAGAAAGATAACATTACTGTAGGAAAATACTGTTTTTAAATATGCCAACCTAAACTTTTGAGGGAAGTCAGGATTTTATAACACGCTTCAAAGCAAAGACTCCATTCTGCTCCAATAGTGAAAGATATATTTATGTGAATTGTTTTCAGACAGCTGTTCTGGACACTCATTAAAAAAAAACAAAACCAGTAAGTGGGGTTTTGTGGGTGGGAGGGCAGAACCTCAAAAAGAATGCAAGTTCTATTTTAGCAATTTCCTAGAATTAAAAAATCAAACTCATTTTAATTCGAAATCAGTTGAAGGTCTCTAAACGGGGTTATCAAAGAACAGAGTTTTAAGTTAAATTGAAAGCCTAATTGCATGTCAATCGATGTTGACAAGAGGCTGTTTTTTTTCCAGGCCTTGCAGCAGCGCAGCTTTGGGAACATCTCAATTTCCCACCTACAATCCTGCGAGTCATTCGAGTGATCCGGATAAGCCGACTCCTGAGGCTGATCAGAGGAGCGCGAGGACTCCGCACCCTGCTTTTTGCCCTGCTGATGTCCCTTCCTGCTCTCACCAACATTGGGCTCCTCCTTTTTCTGATCATGTTCATCTACGCTATTTTTGGCATGGCTAATTTTGCCTGTGCTAGTTGGAAGCAAGGGATTGACGATATTTTCAACTTCCAAACATTTGGCAATAGCATGCTTTGCCTTTTCCAAATAACAACGTCTGCTGGCTGGAATGAACTTCTTGGACCAATGCTCACCCATCAGGATAACTATCTTTGTGCTCTGAACATCAACTCCACCCCGCAGAAGAGCCCCTGTGTGAATAGTGGTGTGGCCATTGCCTATTTTGTCAGCTACATCATTATTTCATTCCTCATTGTGGTCAACATGTACATTGCTGTCATCCTTGAGAACTTGAATGTTGCCACTGAAGAAAGCACAGAGCCGCTGAATGATGATGATTTTGAAATCTTTTATGAGATATGGGCAAAATTTGATCCCAAAGCAACCCAATTTATTTCTTACTCAGCCCTGTCAAACTTTGCAGATGCCCTGACAGAACCTTTACGGGTACCAAAACCAAATAGCCAAGAGTTGTTGTCCATGGACCTTCCAATAGTCAATGGGAATAAAATCCACTGTTTGGATATTTTGTTTGCTTTTACTAAAAGGGTGCTGGGAGAATCTGGAGAAATGGACTCCCTTGAGTCCCAAATCGAAGAAAAGTATCCAGAGAAGATTGCCTATGAGCCCATTGTGACAACTCCCAAGAGAAAACAGGACGAGTCTGCCATCGTAATCCAGAGAGCTTATAGGATGCATCTCCTTCAGCGTGCAAGAAAGGCTGTATCACAGGAAGCCTGTGTAAATATCTCCTTGGAGAATATTTCTGAAGAGGAAAGCCTATCTGTGTTCAGACTGAGTGAAAATGAAGGCAGCCAGTCCAGTAATTCCCAGAGCCTGTCTTCAGTGGCCATTCCTCCATCATACAGTAATGCAACGAGCATCACTCCTGGTGTTCATCAGGGGAAGTTCTCTGACAGTAATGATGACACCAAGTAATGGGCAGCTCACTGATTTTTCTCTTGTCCCAACAGAGCTTTCCTGGAAATAGATAATAACACTGTCATAAATAGTTAACCCAGCACCTTTTCCATTAGTGGTTGTGTAAACTCGTTCAGATCCTCAGTGGGAATTAAAGATTGCAGTGGCAGCAGAGTTCCCCAATCTCCTACATTCTGGATGTTTTGGACTACAGTTCCCTGTATTAGTCTGGAAATTCTGGGAACCAAAGGTCATTTCTGCACTAGTGATTTATAGTATTTTCTAGAGTCAACCAACCTGTGTTATGCCAAAGGACAGACATTATATCACTTCAGTGATGGTTGGATGATACAATGAAGGCTCTTTAAAGCCTCTAGTGAGGAAATGACCATAGTCTAAAACATTGGTCTAAAATATCTAGAGGACATTTTGTTGAGGAGGATAGTGCTAAAGAGTCACCAATAACAGTTAAAGAGAGGGGAAAAAATACTATTGCTGAAGATTCTCCTATTTGTAATATTTTTCAAAAATATTCAAAAATCTGGAGAAAGAAAAGTTTTCAAAAATGAGCTAGCCTCAGGCATGAGATTACTTAGGGAGAAGAAACAATCAGACTTGGTTTATTTTCAGTTGAGATAGACTATCTGAGATCAGAAACTGTTCTCCATTCTAGAAGGACTAGCCCTGTTATCTGATCTCTTTCTTATTGCATCATTTGATCAGTTTAATGGTGACAGGTCACAAAATTGTGTGTTCAGGATTGATCATTTTTTTTAACGCTGGGTTTTTTAAAGAGGCAAGAACAGCAAGATGGATTAGGGAAAAAATGCCTAGGGATTCGATACAGTTATAGAATGGGAGCTTTCAGAACGTTCCTATGCAGAAGAATTGATATGTCACATACGAGATTGTGTGTGACAATTATTAATATAATTCTCGTAAAACAATTCAGCTCTTGCACATTCCTACCCATGGGGAAGGTTCTTGCCTGAATTCATGTAGCATAAGAAGTAGGGTTACTTACATCAGCATGAAAATGTATGAACATATATAAGAATAGAAATAGTTTATGCGTGTTATTAGAAATGTATTTTGTAATTAGGTGAAAAGAGAGTGGTTCATCTCTGAATGTTTCATTTTCTTCCTCTGATCATCTGAGCATTCCAGAGCTGGTTTGTGCATTTCCAAAAGTGTATTCTCCAGAACAGGAAGTAGTTCATGGTGTTCCAGAGGCAGGCTGACTTTGTGAAAAATGGAATATCCTGGAGGAAAACCAGAATATTTTGAAGACAAACCACTCTGTTTTGCATATCCCATTTTGGTTTATTATGCTCTGGGAATCTAGCCAATTGTGGCTTATTCAACAAACCATGGCTAGCTATGGCTTAGTGCAGTATGTGAAGCCAATCAATATCTTACAAATATAATAGGGAAGCTATCTTGCTAAGAAAGATGACCAGCTGGGGCACAGTTGCTGGACCTCTGTTGCTGCATGTCCATCAGCAGCCTGTTCGGTTTGGAACTTCTCCATATTCCAGTATGTCTTATTTATATCAAGTAAACCTTATATATAAAAGTTCACACAGTTTGTCTTTATTCACAGTATGAAAGAATTACCATGCAACACGCCTAAGTCCTGGATTTGTAGGATTTATCAGAACAACTCTCATTGAGAGACCACGAGGGAGAATCTAGGCCCTGCCATCACCTGGCAGGTTCTAGCAGTGGGAGAACAACCCGCACTGTGGGTGGATGAAATGGAGCTGGGCTTCCACGAAAAGGCTTCATGAGCAAAAGAAGGACGTGCTCTATTCACTGTCACATTCAACTGATTGTAATTCCTGATTTGGGGAGAGCATGAAATGAGGTACTTGCGGGCTGAGCTCCCTCTGTACGAACTTCCTTACAGTTTCAGAGCAGTCTCCACCACGTGTGTTGGTTCAGCTTTCAGACGCCTATTTTCTAAGGGAAGTTGCTGCTGATGCATTTTAACTAACTTGCAGAAATGGTTAATGAGTATTTTTTTGCTAAATGCTTTGCAAACCCTGACAGCTGTGAGATAGTCAAGCGCCTTTAGATGGCAGTGTCTTCCAAGATTTTGGAGCACTGAAGTCTGACACATTTCATTGCGGTGCCCAATGTTCCAGTGGTGCCCCCACTGCAGAAACGAACTCTTTAAAGACTTAGGAGAACATTTTCATTCCTCTGCTGATTACAATAAAGGCATTCATACTTTGCAACAAGCAATGCAAATTACCTTGCCGTGATTAAGGTATATCCCAAGTTGTTCTTGATTCTTGCTGACTACATGGACACTTCAGGGTTGGGGGGGCGGAGGGTTGGCAGTAATATGGAAGTAGCTTGCCATTGCCTTCTGCTGGATTTTTCCCCGCTCTTCAGTCTTGTTTACGATCTTAGGATTTCCTGATGAACTCTCATCCAAGTACTGACCAAATTTGATTTTGCTTAGTTGTTTCAAAGATCAGCCTGGTCCTGTCAGCCCCACCAGGTAGACCAGACCAACAATCAACTCCACAGGGAGGCTAGGACTACTTTCATTGAGAATATATATCAGAATCTTGCAAGTCTGATTATGCTATGCCTTCTCCTCTTCTTATACACATGTGAATTAGGGAGGTCTCTGAGCCACTTCTGCGTACTTTCTGCTTGCTTTGGACTTAAGCCGTGTTTTTCTCCTCATCTCTTTGTCAGCGGATCTGGCCTGTCTTTGTCAAGGTCATCTTCCTTACTGTCTACAGGTCCCTAATTGTAACTAAATACATAGGGCAGCCCTTCACTTTTAAAGTATATTGCCCAAACGAGGGGGTCTGCCTTTGTGTGTGTGTGTGTGTGTGGAGACGGGGAATGTTAAAAAAGTCAAGATGGCAGCCTGAATTATGCGACTGAAGCCCTGCCCCTTTTACTGTGCATCAATGCATGTAAAAAAGCAGCGTGGCTTCGCACCTGCAGTCAAATTCTGATTTTTTAACACAGGACCCCAGGAGACGCCCGTGCCTCAGCAAATCTTGGAAATTGTACTTCTCAAAATGTCCTGGGAAGAGAAGTTATTTCATAAATGAAGTAAGATTTGTATACATTGATTTTTGGCTGTTTACCAGATCCCAGTGCCACGTGTTGCCAAAGATATGTGATTAAGACTCCGCAAGTGAGGGTGAATGAGTGAGGGCCACAACACTGGGATAATTTTTTTTCACTTCTTCACCAGTTGAAATCCCACCTAGGACAAGGTGTCCTCTCCCCTGCATTGGAGAAGAATTTAAACAGGGGCTGGCATAGAAGGAAGAGTTTAAAAGGCAGCACAACCGCCTGGAGCTGACTTATTTTCCCTTTCCTGGGAACTTCAGGAGACATCTTTAGAAATGAGAAAATTCCAGAAGAATTTTGGAAAAATAGTAATTCCAGTTATAACAATAAACAGAGCCAGTTTGGTCTAGTGGTAAAGGTCCCAGGCTAGAAAGCAGGAGACGGTGAAGTCTAGTCCCACCTTAGGCACGAAAGCCGCTGGGTGACTTTGGGCCAGTCCCTCTTTCTCAGCCCAACTCACCTCACAGGGTTGTTGTGGTGGGGGAAATAGGAGGAGGAAGGAGCATGAGGTATGTTCGCCGCCTTGAGTTATTTATAAAAAATAAGAAAGGTGGGACAAAAAGCTAAAAAAAAACAACCAAGAATAAAACCCCATGTATTAGGACTGCTAATTTTCCCAAGATCTTCCAGTTTTTGATGCTTAAAACTAGAGCAAAATTTACAAGGTTATTAACAGAAACAAACAATCCAGGTGAATCAAAAACCAGTTTTAAAGTTTAAAAGGGTCCTTTCCCACTCTCTTTTCAACTTCTTTGGGAAGTTGTTCCAAATCTCAGGCAATAGTACTAAAAAGACTGTCAGATATAGACATGGCGGATTTGCAACCCCCTAACTACTTACTATACCTTTTATTGACTTCGTTAATTAATCCATTCATCTGGCCACCTCTCTCGCAACAGTGACCCTGGTTAGCCAACAAAGTTAAAACTCAATTCAAATAGCTGATAACAATAAACATACATATAGTGGCAGTCAAGGAAAACCACAAGCATATCTGTCCGTTGATGGGAAGAAGCCATGCAAGGCTTCAGAAGAATGAAGGAAGCTGGAAGGTTCAGCTGGAAAAAGATGTCTGATGCCAAGATTTAAATATTCGAACGTGGAAAACACCAGAGTAGCAGGTAAGCCATTACTGTAGTGTAACATGGTTCCTTCTAAACTGGTGTTTCTCAATCTCAGCAACTTTAAGATCTATGGACTTCAACTCCCAGAATTCCCCGGCCAGTGTGCTGGGAGTTGAAGTCCACACATCTTAAAGTCCATACTTCTTAAAGTGGCTGAGATTGAAAAACACTGATCTAACTCTTGCTGTATTATGTAAAGACACATTACATTACTGTTGGCTTGGAATAACTAAGACCAGATCTGGTTTCTTCATGAACGGGCGCAGTTGGTGAATTAAAGAAAAAAAGATTCAGAGGTAGGGAACACCTGCACCATGTGGTTTTCTCCCTCTATTTATGACCGTCTTCATTGTAACTGCAAATCACATACAATGCATGGCCTAGGGACAGATTATTAGCGGGACCATCCTCTCTCTGAAGGCATCTGCCTGTCCCACCAGATCAGATATGGCGGGCATGCCCCAAGTCCCTTCCCTTAATTGTTGCCACCTAGTAGGACCTAGGGAATGTGCCTTTTCCATAGCAGCACCTTCCCCTTGAGACCTTAACCTTCTGGGAAGTTGTTTTTATTGTTTGTGATTTTATCATTGTGGTTAGCTGCCCAGAGTTGTGTCCCACAAGATGAACAGCTAAATGAAACTTATACAAATAAATAAAATAACGGGAATCCAATGTAACCCATTCATGGTATGGAATTGATGCTCATGGATGTCTTGGAACTGGAAAAGCATAGCCATGGAACATTCTCTGTTTCTTCATTCCCAATCACTTCCAGCTGAAATATTAGGAAAAGTAATAAGAAGCACATCCCTGGTGGGACCAATTCTCTGATCGGGTCCATACCCCATGCAAAGCTGCGATG